ACCACTTTCTGATCGCTAGCATCTGATTTTACCTAACATGTTCATTTTCTGTAGTGTTGTGATTGTCGTGGAAGTCGTTTTTATCGAAGATATGCTGTTGGTTGGCACCGATGAATAATTTGTGTGGGAAGCTTCTTTGTTTAGGAATAATTATTCTTAGATGTAATAAAGCAGGTGTCGACGGATAATACAGGTAAAGTCGCTCACTGGGTTTGTAGGTCCTAGCAGGAATATTTTTTGAAAAGAATTCGGAAGCGATATTCGACAAGGGGCAATAACAATGCGACTGGTCAAAAGGTCATTTTCTATAGTGTTGTTGTTGTTGTCATAAAAGTTGCTTTGTCGAACAAGTTGTGTTGTTGATTGACACCGACGAATCAAAGTATTTCTACATGGAGCCACAAACCAGTTCCTGTTCATAGAGTGAGAATGGTTATAATATTCCCATAAAGCATGTATTACCTTTTGATAGATCGGAAGAAAGTTACAATAGAGGAGATCTCTGTTGATTATAGTAATTTGGCATGGGAATATAAGCTTGGTTAATATATTGGATCATCTTCAAAAAAGGAACGCTGTCAGCATCACAAAGGGCTTTGTGTTGACAATCCAGATATTGCGGTTAAAATAATAGAGATAAAAAATTTTAACATTGCAAGTAAACTTATCAATTTAAAAGATGGAAGTTGGACAAACGATTCATTACATTAAGATCGGAACATTTACATTACTTTTCCTTATGCAGTGAGTTAATCATTTAAAAATATTAAAATTAAAAAACTCTTATAGATCATATCCATATCGTTGTTTTTCCTTAAAATCCTCAAATCTTCCTTGAAATATTATTTAGATAGGTAAGAACTAATTTCAAATCGGGAAACTATGGAAGCCCTGGTCTGTGTAAGTTCTGTTGTTTAGTTCTCTATGCATGTATACAGTTTTGAGCCAACTTCAGGGTTACCTATACATCCCGATTATGCTCCGTATTTTGCTTTTATTAATAATGGACAGTATACGGCTGGTTCACAGGGGAAATCATCACATGCTATTTATTGTTATTTCCTCAACGTTGGTATCTCCATCATACAGTACTACAATTTCAAAATTGAGGTATACCTGCGGGGATAATTTTAGATATTTCTCATCAGACTTTAGTGAGCCTGTTTGCGCTGTATTCGGCAATTCAATCCTTTTATTTTTGTTTAAATTTTTGAATAATTCTAGCGTATGGAAGGAAACAATGCTAGTGGTGGGTCAAATGATGGTATTCTGCTGGCGCTTCATCGAAATGAGTCTCTCGAATATAATCCTACGCCTCATTTCTTCCCTGCTCACATCAAGCTAGTAACATTACATTATATTTGTAACTTTACAAGACTTTAATATTCATTACTTCAATATGAGTAATTCTAATATATTTTAGGGTATTGGATGAATTGAAGCAGTGCGTATGCTCCTATTATCACTGGATTGTGTTGTTGCTCGTGCTATCAGATGGGATACGTCTCTCATCGCCAGTCTTTTTATCAGCGGTTCTTATTATCCTTGCATTTATTAATCTTTGGCGTGGTGCTGACCTTTACCTTTCACATCCAACTGTTTTTATTCGGAAGTGGCGTTTAATAACAATTTATCTTCTTGCTGCAGTTTTCCTACGTATCGTGGCATTGGTATGATTATTTTTTAATTACATTAAAATCCAAACTACTGTCCTTTTAAAAAGAGCATTTCTCATCTTTATATTAAACGTTGATAATTTAATGATTTTTATTGGCCATTCTAATGACGGCATTTATGTCACTATCAATGTCGATCATCACCAAATTTCTCGGAAGCATTTTTGGATACTTACTGATTGCAAACTTATGTATTAATTATCTGACTACCTTTCCCGGTGATTTATCTTCCGTAGCACTAATGTACAATGGCAACTAGCTTTCTGGGAAAGACATAAAGTTCATGTCGTCAAATTATTTCGCATCGCTAGGTGCTATCCAAAAAAATCACTTGAGAAACTATAAAAAACATAATGTACTTATGTGGAGAAAGTACTTTTTAGGACCGGTTAATTAAATCTACTGTATGGTCCGGTGATATTAGTAACTAAAAAGGAATTGAATATGCTAATGATGTCTTAATTTTTCCAATTTTAGTTAGTATTAAACAGTGACAATTGTTTTCAGATTGGTGATGGGTTAGTAGGTCATTTTTTAATACATGACAAAGCAAAACATTCAATCAGTTATACGTCGTTTCACGTGATGTTATCTTATTTTTCAAATTCTTCCGAGGATACTAGTATATCTTTTCTGTTCCTTCTTACACTAGCTAAGTAAATGAGTTAAACAGTAGTCTGTAGACAAAAGTAGGATATGTGAGAACTTGATAGCAAATCAGTTCAGAAGATGTTTCCCGAAATAATTGTACGCAAAGAATTGGATCATCAGTGATTGTCTGATTGTCTCAGTTTTTTGTTTTTTTTTTTTTTTAACAGTAATTCATTTTTTACTGTATCATGAAATTCTCTTTCACTTTTCCCAGTAACTTCCTTACAGTTTTTTAAGCTTAAAATATTTTTGTGAAAAATTAATTCTTTCAGCACCATATGGAGAATTAAGTACAGATAGCTTTCTGTTTGATGTGGTGACCTTCGCAGCTCTTCTACTCCAACTTCGTTTGATTAGCAGTTGGTATGTAATTTTTTTGTTGTAGTTTGTTTGTGACACAACAATTCTTCCATGCTACAATTAAACGTCACCAAAGTTTTATGACCAAAAGAAGTAGAATGTAGTGATTATAGGCACTTTCAACGGACCGTCATTGATATAAGAGCTGATCGAATTGTATGTTACAGGTAAGTTTTCAGAGTTTCTAAATCCGTTACAAGGTTCTGTTTCTTCATTGGTCATTATTTTTAAAAGAAGTGTAAGATAAGCAGTCACTTGAATCTCTCTGAAATACATCAAGATTGTTGGTTGACATCGGATTTCAACTACTGCTTGCAAATTAGAAGTCAAAACAGCATTTCAGAGGTGTGGTTCTTCAAACACAGTTAATTTACAAAGCGATGACCTATCATCAGCAACAAGATCGCCGTCGCTTGGCGAAAATAAAACGTACAGTAGGAGCAGTAGTGAAGCTCAATCTACCCTTTGGGGAATGGTTTGTTGAGTGTAAGTTTTACCGCTAAGATTGCTCAGCCATTTCAACTGATGACATATCTGTACTGATGGTATAGTATTTGACAATCGCCGCTTATGATACACAGAAATGTTTATTGAAAAGTTCTTTTGAATTTTCTCGTAAAGTTAAATGTTAAATTAGGTTTTTTCCAATCAAGAAAATAAATCTTGGTCCGAAAAAACTTCTAGAGAGATGACTAACTATAATCACTGATCAGATACATTTTCGTTCGTAATTAGTTGGTAGAATGAGTACAATCCAATTTCCCCGGCTATCGAAGTACTTGAAAGACAAAGTCGGAGAGATGCGATGATTTGAAAAAATCCAAACTATTTTCTGATATTTCAGCAATACGTGGATGGAACGAGAATTTATTGCATACGGTGGATTCGGCAAAGGGAAATATGAAGGAAACAACGTTTGACAGTCATTCGTAATGCTTATTTTCATTCTTCAATTTCATTCATGCAGTTTATACGAAGTGAGTTAGTAGTGACTGACGAATTTCTTATGAATGAATCAATAATCCTGCAGTTTACCATTAATGTCATTTTAAAATATTTTTCCTCCTGAAATTACATCAAAATTGACAGATTCTGGCAGTGACTTAGAACTTCGGTTAAACAACAAGCCATTAACTCTTTTACGAACCAAAAAGTCTCACTCCGATAATGTTCATTATGAAAGCAGAATTTTCATTTTGTGACCCCTCCATCTCACACTCATTATTTAACCTAAAGAAAACAAGAAATTACTGTTGTGTGTGAGCTTACTGTATCTTCTTCGATGGCGACTTTTTGACCAAAAGAATTCTCTGCCGCTACTTGTTTTAGTTTCAGGTCTAGGTCAGAAATGAAAACTGGCCAAGATGGTAGGGTAAAAGAGAGCAATAAAGTACAGGTTAATACTTTTGCCAAGAAGTTAAATTTTTCAGTTTGAAGAATTTGTTGCTGAAATTAATCCAAGTTGAGTGTATTTTCACAATAGCAAGGATGTGACACTTGTTGGGCACTGTCAAAACATTTTAATTTCTTTTCACTGTTGTTTTTTCAGACTCCATACATTACGATCTCATTTTTGTTCTCTACATGTGCACTTTGGTTGGCCCGTAAAACACTTAGCTATCGCTACATTCGCTTTGTTATCAATGAAGAAAAGAGACTGCTATTAGAGAAACTCCCAAAGGCATCTTTAATTTGTAGGAATAGAAAATATTTGATGCAGATATTGTAGGAGGGAATCAAAGAATGATGATGAAGTTACTTTCTGAAAGGGAATTTCTTTTGATCGGTTCTTCATTGGCTTTGAAAATTTGTTCAGGATTTTTATCTTATCATTTCAGGAATTAAGTTTGGCTTCACAAAATTCCTTGCGTAAACTTGAGAAATGCAATCTAGGAAATGAAATCTGTTTGGTTACCAGCTCTAGAGATATTATCAAGTAGTTTTTTATTTCTTATTAAAGATTATTATTCTGTATTAATAAATACGTTGATGTTGTGATAGCAATATGCTGTAGTTCGTGGTATATTAGCATGTGGAACACTCGGGAAGTTATAATTAACACTTAATGTGGCGATTAATTCATGGAGTTTTGTTTCAGTTTTTGAGTTAAAATTGAGCTATTGCCACCCAGCATACAATATTAGTTTGCTTACTGTCAAGTTTCACATCTTTTTATGCTAAATATTAAATTAAAGAAGACTTACAGGTATATGAATGAAGTGCATTATCGTTGGTTGAGGTTACCATTAGTGTGGCGTCTACTGGATGCAATTGGAACATTTTGGGTTTGTAATACGGCTTTGTTGTGCTATCTGGTAATTATTGTTGCTCATGGTCAGGCTGCCTGCTTACTTACATTCCCACTTACAATCCTAGTTTTTTTTTGGGGAGCTATCACTGAACGAAAGCATCGTCTACTTTGGACTATTACAATTTTTTATGTACAGGTGATGATGATATATTGTAATTTCAAATTTTTGTAATGTTTTACTTTAAGCTTCTTTAATTCAACACGTCATTTCTTCATATTACACTAGAACGAATAAGATGAAAGTTTCAGCTGAATTTTGACTAGGAGAAGATAGTAATAGTTGCAGATAATGATAATAGTATCACTTTGTTTCAAATATACCTCCCTACCATGGGTATGCAAGGAATGGATGAAATGTGGTAAATGGAGTATGGTGATGATTGGACGATTCGTCGGTATCGCTGACGAACCGATATCTGTGGCTATATTTGTTTTCCTCGTCCTTGCACTCTTCACTCATCGTCATAATATGAGGGCAAGCTGTTTTCTTGCTCTTTGTATAAAATATCCGAATTACTTTCTTAACAATGCTTATTTTTAATAAATATAAATTACTGAAACAAGAAAAGGAATTTGGGTGTCTTTTCTTCGGTATTGTCCGGTAACTCTAATAACATTTCTATCAATCCATTTTTATCTTTGTTTGCTGGTGGAAAACGTTCATGGTTATGGTTTCAGCGAAATGGTTTTTGGTATGCATCGAGTAGGCAGCTACTGCGGAATGAAGGTTTAATCTTGTTGTGTTTCCTAATGAATGAGAAGGAAGATGGGAGCTCTACTCAGCGTTGAAATGTTGTCGTTTTAGTTTACTACAGTATCTGTTTTCATTTACTTCAGCTTCAAAAACATGCAAAATTTCGGTTGATCAGAAAAAAATCACGCTAAAGTAAGCCGTGCTGACGTTTTTTATTTGAAAGATGTTTAGAATAGATAGTTCCTTATCATAACAGAATTACTCTATCCAGAAACTACCTTAAGTGTTTCAATACTAGTCAGTAAATAAGCAAAGACCTAGAGTTAAGAAAATGGATGGGAAAAATGCAAAAAAAAAAATTTTCATCACACATATTAATGTAAAAAATACCGTGGATGTTTGATATACTGATATATGTGATGAAAAATGCGAAGTGCGAAAAAGCGTTTTCGTCATGATAGCTGTAATTCAGACTATAAGAAGTGTTGCTTATGGTCAGTATTATTGGATATCTTAAGATTACGGCAGCGTTCTCCTTCCAACTATTATCCGTGGATGATTTTATCTGATTTACTTGCTCTTATCACGATGATTATTAATTTCTCCAATTTCGATTTGGCACGACGAGATGCATTCACATTATTGGAGAGTAAAAGTAGCTTGCTACCGGATACATTTGTTTACTATTTTATGGCAAGCCTTAGCATGGTAGGATCAAAAAACTAGTAATTTCGATTTTTAAACTTTGCGTAATGATACACCTTATATGCGATGATTATGAAATGATTTGCATGGCACTAGCTTTTTTGATTTGCCTTCTGGCATGAGTTCGAATTTTAAGTTTATGGGGAATTTAATAACTAACCGCGTATTCTAACAAGTTATGATTAGTCTAACTTCGAGTAAGGTTTTGTGATTACCCAGGCTTGAATGCGTTGTACAATCTTCTTCCGTATATTGAACTTTTCCTTATCATAACTCCAGTCCTATAATGCGATCGAGTAGAGGCCCATATACATCCGTTCCATTTATAAAGTCGAAAATCAAAGTGAAATACAGATTAATTATTCCTTTACGTAGAACATTCGAATTATGCACGCTCTATTTTCCAAAGATTTCTGATCAGATTCCTCATCCATCCTTAAAAATACTTTTTTAACGCTTGAAGTATACATCACAGGGTATGAAATGTTCAATTAAATGTATCATTGATATTGTTATTATTTATCAATCTTGAATGATGCATTCAATAGTAATTTTCTCCAATTTTTTTGATTTTTTAGATCATACTTGATCGAATAATTTACCTCAAGCGAGCAATACGAATGAAATTTGTATATTTGGTGATTGAAGTTATCGGAATTCATGTTTACATCCTTACAATATTATTAATTTCACCACAAACGTGAAGTTTTGCAATTTATTAATGAAGCTGTATGAATGCTTGAATCATTTCACCGTCTTGAAGTTTGATCTTAGATTTTATGCAAGACCTTTGACCACTTATTACTCAGTATTCCCTTATCTTTCATTTGTCTGTCACAATCTGTTATGTTCCTAATCCCAACTAATTCTGTATATTTTCCGCCTTCATGTGGTTTTCCTTTACGCATGTCATTCATTCGCAATGCGGTTACAGCGATGAGAATCGTCGGATGACCATCGGTCTATTTATTTGGTACATAGCTCGTGGTATACACATGCTTTCAAGTGCGTTTCAAGTGCGAGATGGCTATCCAAAATTTATCGTTGGTGATGTGATGATGAAATCCAATCCAGTAAGCTGGGCTTTATACGTCGGGTTTGTTTCATATTATTTATTAAGTATCAAGGCAGATGTTAGTAATTAATCAGTACATCACTTAGCTGTACTAGGCATTAACATGAAGAATCTGTCATCTTATAAGATATCGTCCCATAACCTCGGCTTTCCATCTTTTTCCTACGAAAAAGATTGTTAACAAAATAGTTTTCTCTTAATCATTTGTCTTTATGTTCTAAGGCGCTTTTCCATTAACCAGATGTTGCTCACCCATATTTCTTGAAAATGAGGAAGTTAGACTGTGGGGTAAGTTTTTGTGATATTTTTGAAATATGTTAAATTACAGTACTGTGAGGAATATTCTGCTTACCCGTTTTAAAGATATTGTGTCAAATCCATATGCAGGTATCTTCTTCTCTCCTAAGTCATATAGTTTGCATCAGTGAGAAATTTGGATCATATCTTTTGAAGATATTTTTACACCGTCCCAGTCTTTGAAATAGCGACAATTCTTGATTGGACATTTACATCAACAACCTTAACTCTGTTGGATTTCTATATCTTGAAGACAATTAATTATTATTTATATTTCATCAAAGGCATGCGAAAGCTGGAAGCGGTTTGTTCATTTTTCTTTTTCTTCATTTCTATATTAGTTGATATTAAATCGTATATTACTTTACATACTACTAAATTACATGTTTGTATTGTTGTTTTGCTGTTTCACAAGTTAACTTTATCTGAAACAGTTCCTTTTCGTGTTTAATAATTTTATCAAATTTCACCAAGGAATTCCTGTAATCCGTTGCATTCATTTCGGATGATAGTACCATTGCAAGCCAAATCGACCTATCGAAAAATACCTTTAGTGCTAGTATCAAATTTTTCCATCCGGTGCATTGTCTGGTTAAACAATTCCTTAGTTCGAATTCCTCGTTTCTTCACAGCAGTACTTTTTTGGCATGAAATTCCTTGAGACAATCATTATCCAGCTATGATCATTGTTGCTGCTTAATCTTATTGCAGCATCAGGCGTAAATTCTAGATTTCTACGTAGATGGATATACAGGAGATACTATTTGTTCCATCTTTAGGCTGTGCACTGCCATATTCGAATGCTAGTCATACGGTGTAGTAATTTGAACACTGGCTTATAAACATTTTGCTAAAATAAATTTCAGAGGGAATTATTTTCAGTTCTACCCAAGAAAGCGGGCAGAACTAACTTCAGTTCCAGTTAAGGTATTCTTGGGTGGAGGAATACTCTTTGCAGTATTTGTCATTCTTGTTATGTTAATTCTGTTCATATCTGAAAATGTGAGTGTTTTTTTCCTGTGGTGAGAATAGCAGATTCCGTTTAAAAAAGTATCAAATTAAGCGATTTCAAATTGTTAAAGATGTTCAATCAATCAAATATTTTTCATCACTTCCTTGCGTGATTTAAGTGACAAAGTTGCTGCGAGCATATTTAGAGATTTAATAAGTTTGATCTGAAAGACAAAAATGATTTCTTGCAAGTTTCGCTCGCCGATATCCATGCTCATTGTTCGCCTTTCAGTGTTCCAATTGAAAACTGTTTAATTTGGTTGTGTTTATTATTAA